CTGGCTTAGCTGGTGCAGTCTGGTCACCATCTCCCAGGGCTGCAAATGCTGAATAGAACAATTCCCAATGGTTTCACCTGCCCATTAAATGCATCATCACTCACTGCTGCTTTGCTGGATCCTCTCCCCTGCCAGCATTGCTCTCGGCCCCCAGGCCAGCCTCCCCGGGTGGGCTCAAGCTTGGCACAGGCCCTGGGGCATGGCAGGACTTCTGTGGAGTGGGTCTGCTCTCAGCATGGCATCACTCCCACGAGCCTGGGGGTCTCTGTGCTGCAACCATGTTGCCATGGGGCTGCCTGCTACTAGCAGTGGTGGAGCTGTGGGGTGGGAGCGCTTCTTGGCGCTGTAGGGTGATGGCATGACAAATACCAGCTTTGTTCCAGCTCTCATATGTACTAATGGCTGCCTGTCTACTGGGCCAGGGTTAGGGATGAGAAGGAAGGAATAAACCAGGAAAGTCACAGGGGGAGCTCAGTGGATGAGGAGAGAGGGGAATTTAGGTCTGGTGCCAAATGACCCTGCATCTAACAGCTAGTGGTTGGGAGATGGTTTATATTTCAGCAGCAGCTGACAGCTCATAACAGGCTGGTCTTGGTAGGGCTCCCAATTGGGCTCTAGGAGAGCTGCGTTCAGTTCCTGGCTCCAGCACCAGGTCCCTGTGTGCCCTGGGCAAGGCCCTTCGTCTCTCTGGTCTCAATTCTCCAGCTGTGAAAGGGGAAATGATCCTTCCTGTGATTGCCTGATGTACTTAGTCCGTAAGCTCTTCAGGGCAGGGCCTGTCTATTCATATGTGTCCGTGCAGGGCCCAGCACAAGTCACTGCTGTTGTAATACAAATACAACTTGAAATCACCAATGTGCTTTGCCCCTTGGCTACTGCAGTGTGAGAGCACTGCTACACAAACTGAAGGGTAGCAATGCAGGGGAATGCAGCACCAGCTTTTGTCATAGCCTGAGCTTTCATCAGAGACCTCACACACACATCCTGGCCCAACCTACCCCAGCTCAGTGTACACCAATCCGTGAAATACCAGCTCAGATTAGGTATGCCCCAGCCTCCATCAGAAAGGCTCTGAGAAGGCAACACTGAGCTCTCCTCTGCCAGCTAGTTGGATAGGGGAAAAGGCATAGGGACCAGACTGTATGAACACACCCACTCTGCCTACGTATCCAGCAGACAGAGCTGTGTTGCCAAAGTCATCAACTTTGGCAGGTGTTGGGTTACAAATCACTCTAGTACTGAATGCAGGGGGTAATGTAATCTTATCTTTATTATATGAGTAAAGGGGAGCAGAACTGTGCTTAGCCTGTCCTGATTGAGGGGGGTCACCCTCAACTGGACTGAACTCACTAAGCAGGAGCCTCAGATGCCAGATCGCTGTGGAAGTGGAGATAGGTGTTCCTGGTGGGAGGAGTAGGCTTTGTCTAAGAGCCCATGACATGGTTTAACCTGCCCCTTTCCACTGTTCAAAGACAGCTAATTAGGGCTCCATTAGGAGTCTTTTGTTTTGTTATGTGATCACTAGAGCTGAAACCACTTCTTGTGGGACAACATTTCTGCCCAGACTGCTTCAGCAATGAAGTTCACAAACACAGAGCTGGGTAGAACTCTGAGACTGACCTGAAGAGATCACAGTAGAGAAGCAGGTAGCAGCAGAAGGTGATGGTGTGCATCAGCAACGGCTTGTGGAGCAGTAAGCAGTTGGCAGGGTGACCGGCAGAGCAAGTGTTAGACACTAGAGTGAGTAAGGTGCTTTTTCTCTCTCTTCCCCCACCCACCTGCAGGTGGGAGGTGAACTCACTCAGATGCACCTCTGAACTCCGGGTCTTCACTGACCAAGGACAACCACTGTGAGCGGGGTGTGGTAGAGAGAGCAGGGAAGGGCACATTAAAGGAGCTTTTGGTTGCTGAACTCAAGAACCTGAGGTGAAAGATACTGCCCCAAGCACTCTGGGGTGGGTGTTTTGGCCTTAGGGGATGAACGCAATCTAGAGAGAGGAGGCAAATGCTAGGGAGATGGAGATAAAACCATTGCTCCTCTGGAAGTGTCTCTATCTCCTGCTTTGAGTGAGCTCACATCTCCGTCTCCTAATTTGTGCTGGTGAGGCTGTGAGTCCCCTGTGCCCATTGAAGGGGGACAGGAATGGAGAGACAGAACAAGAGTATCATCAATGGGGCTTGGGCTTTTTCTGTCTCATTTTGTCAGCTGCATTTCCCTCTCCAAGTGCAATTTGATCCTCATCCCAGACCTTCTCCCTCACAGCGATGGGGTTACAGCATGGAGTGAGAGATATGTTAATAACTGGGGTAAAACAGGAATGATAACCCCCCTCCTTTTCTAAGCTAATTGACCAGGGGGAACCCCTGCATTCATGCTTCAAATACACAAGTAGTGCCTAGAACTGAATCCCTCTCTGTTCATGGCTGGAGTGTAACACGCTGACCCAGAGCTGCCCTGTCCTTCTTCAGTAGCCAGTACATAGCTAGAGGTTTGAGAGACCCTACTAGGTGTAAACCAATGGCACTGATCCAGCAATTCATGTAGCAATAGTAGCATGTGCTTTTTAGATGCAGCTGTCCAGATTCAGCCCTGCAGATGGATCCCACAGGGAAGGGAAGGTATTGTACAAACTTCCCTATCACACACCTGGTCTGAATGACAGCCCAACACTATCTGGGTAATACTATAGGGCTCTGGCTGAGCTCACGACCTGTATGTGCTTGCACAGATGCTAAGCAGCGAGCCAACCACCAGCTTGCAGGCTTGAGTCCTTGGCTTTTGAAACTGCCTTGGCATGCTGCTGAGGGCACCTCTGGACATGTGCTCTGTGGGTGCAAGAGGAAGAGATGTGATGAGAGATACAGAGAATACAGCACTGAGGACATGGCTGGATGAGAGGAAGGATGGGCTTGTGACTACGGCCCTTGTGTGGGATTCGTGAGCTGTAGGTTTAGTTCCTGGTTCTGCCCCTGACCCTCAGGTGCACCTGCACTGCAATTAAACCCAGTGGCTGGCTCATGTTGGCTGACTCAGGCTCGCGGAGCTTGGGCTATGGGGCTGTAAAATTGCAGTAGAGACAGTCAGTCTCAGGCTGGAGCCTGAGCTCTGGGCCACACAAGTGGGGAGGGCTTCAGAGCCTGGGCTCCAGCCTGAGCCCGAACATTTACACCACAGTTTTGCAACCTGAGCCCCTCAAGACCAAGTCAGCTTACCGGGACCAGCCACTGGTGTTTAATTGCAGTGTAGACATACCCAGGGTGTGTCCCTGGACCAGTCATCTTTGAGATCCCTGTCTGAAGAATGGAGATAATAATGTTGAGCTGGCTCTGGGTGGGATATGAACTGCTCAGATCCTGTGGGGGTGAGGGTCATACACAGCTAGAGGGTTAGCATATCTGCAACCTGCAGCTCATGGCTTATGGCCAGCAGGGTGGGGATGGGATTTGATATTAGCATTATTAACCAAGATCCGGGTCCCATTGTGCCAGCTGCTGCATAGATACAGCGTGAGCAATGGTTCCCATCTGACAGAGTTTACAATCCAAAAGACAAGGCAGACCAATGGCAGGAGGGTGAATGGTCACACAGCTGGTCAGTGGCAGCAGGAAGTCTCAGTCCAGTGCCCCATCCAGTAGACCACACTTAGCTACCAACCGCACACAACAACAACCACAACAACTAGCTCTTATACAGCACGTATCAGCAGCTCTCAAAGCACTTACAAATGAAGTTGGTGTCATTAACTCCATTTTACAGATGGGGAAACTGAGGTACAGAAGGGGCAGCATCGTGGTGGCAGAGCCCAGAGCAGAACCCAGGGCTACTGAGCCCCAGTAAAGTGCGGCGCTCTATCCAGTAGGAAATACTGCCTCCAAAACTCTGCACTCGCAGACAGTGGGGACAGATCAGAGACAAGGGAACCTGGGGCAGCTACTAGAAGCATGTCAGTCATTCAGTTCCCATCGTAGCACTGTCAGCACCCTAGAGTCCAAGGGCTATTCTGGACAGCAAAAAGAATGTCTCAGGGATAGTGTCTTCACAGCACATTAATAAACACAGGGAATTATGCAAAATTAATGCAAATAATCTTTTATTTATGTTCCTAAGGTATTTTGGGGTGAGGAATACATCTCCTTTTAAATATATACTTTTATTCAAATTATTGGGGAGGAACTCATTTAGCATTGAACAGTGAGTGCAAATCAATATGCATACAGCACCAAAAACATCTCTGGTGGCTGCATGTCTGTCATTATTTTCAAAGACTGGTGCCCAAACTTAAGCACCTAAATCCAGATTTTGGCACCTACATAAAAGTATGGCATTAGAGTGAGAATTTCATAGAAAGGGAGTATACTGATCAAGTTTGCAAATGCGCAAATACAGAATGGGGGATAACTGGCTTGGAAGCAGCACGGCTGAGAAGGATCTGGGAGTTGTGGTGGGTCACAACCTCAACATGAATCAGCAATGCAATGCTATTGCAAAAAAGTCAAATGCAATTTTGGGTTAATTAACAGAGGAATAGCATGCAAGTCATGGGAGGGGATAGTAAAGCTCGATTCAGCACTGGTTAGGCCTCAGCTGGAGTACTGTGTCCAATTTAGGTCACCAATGTATAGAAAAGGATGTAGATAAACTGGAAAGGATCCAGAAGTGAGCAACAAAGATGATCAAAGGGATGGAATTCAAGCCATATGAGCAAGGGTTGAAAGAATGGGGTATGTTTAGTTTGGAAAGAAAGAGATTAAGGGGGACGTGATAGCAGTTTTCAAATACTTGAAAGGCTGCCATAAAAAAAAAAAAATGGAGAAAAGTTGTTCTCTTTTGCCACAGAGGGCAGGACAAGAGGCAATGGGTTCAAACTGCAGCATAGCAGATTTAGATTAAATCTCATGAAAAAACTTGCTAACTGTAAGAACAGTAGGACAGACTGCCTGGGGAGGTCGTGGAAGCTCCTTCACTGGAGGTTTTCAAAAGGAGGCTGGATAGCCATCTGTCTTGGATGATTTAGACACAACACATCCTGCATCTTGGCAGGGGGTTAGACCAGATGACCCTTGAGGTCCCTTCTAACCCTATGGTTCTATGACCTCGTTTGTCATCAAGTCCAGTCCCCTGCTATCGCAGGCAGCCCAATCAGATAATCATATTCATAAATTTATCAAGCTCCATCTTCAAACTAGTTAGGTTGCCTCCACTCCTCCTATTGTGAGTCTGTTCCAGAACCTCACTCCTCTGGTGGTTAGAAATTCTCTAATTTCCAGCCTGAAGTTATTCACTGCCAATTTATCCCCATTTGTTCTTGTGCCAATATTGTCTATTAGCTTCAATAGCTTTTCTTCCTCCTTGCTGTTCACTTCCCTGCTATAGTTATAGAGAGCAATCACATCCCCTCTTCTCAGCCTTTGCTCAGCTAAGCTAACCAAGCCAAGCTCTTTGATCTCTTCTTGTAAGACAAGCTCTACATTCCCCTGATCATCCTCGTAGCCCTGTCCCAGTTTGAATTCATTTTCTTGAATAAAAGCACCTAAAGGGATTAGGAGCACAAATTCCACAGAAAAATTAGACTCATGCTTAGACCCTTTAGAAAATCTCACCGTTAGGCCCTTAATTTTAATCATCCAGTTTTTGAAAATATTGGCCTTAATTTTCAGGTCATTTTCTTAAAACATTTCAGAGACCAGCCATACAGGGGATCGTGTATAAAAAGATTCCAGAATCTAATCACTGCTAGGGCACATTTTTCTGCAGCCAGTTTGCTGACAGGCTGTGTAAATTGAAGGCCAGGAGGCCCTGTAATGCAGAGCTTCCAAAGAGATAATTGGCCTTGTACCCCAAAATGGCTTTGCTGTTTTCTCACCCCCATTCCTCCACTAGAGCTTTCCTTGCTGATGGCCTGTGGACTAGAGACCATTGAGGCCAAGCCAGTGGCAGGAATGTAGATGACCAAATCTTTATACAAGTTAATGCCCATAAACTGAAACACTCTGTCAGCAGCAGCATGGACCACGTAGGTTCACAGCCAATGGGGTGTTTTAAACTGGACAATAACACTGCCCTTTTCTAGGGAATACTCAACAATTTCCCACGACAGATTAAAACACTGCCAAAAATATATCACTAGACGGATAATAGTAATTACAGTGAAAACCATGGGGCCACTCTCCTCACACCTGCCCATTGCAGTTGGACAGAAAGACGCAGCAGAATACAAATGTAGAGCTGAGAGAATAACTGATTTTCCAGTTTAGCAATTGAACCAAAAAAAAAAATCAGGGGGGAAAATGCCATTTCTGGCCAAGCAAAACATTTTGTTCAAACCAATTTTTTTTCTTCATTTTCATTTAATTGTCAAGTGTTTTTACCCTTTTAAAAAAATTAAATCCAGCTAAATTTCTAATGAAACATCACTTTGAAATGAAAAAAAGTCAAAATGTTTTGTTTTGAAATTTTCAAAATAAGCCATTTTGACTAATTTGTTTTATTCAGCTGAAACTATTTGCTGAATGTGACCTGAATTTGTTATTAGTTGCCCCAAACTGCATTTCATGGTGAACTATTTGACTGAAACCTTTTGCCAAGCTCTATACAAATGTCCATGAACCACAACCAAGACCAAAGCCAGGGAGGAATGAGTTCTGAGATGGTGACTGGCACCGGTGCCCACTGCTGTGCTCTGCATCCATCTCACACCCATTCCCATGAAAGTGTATTGTACAATTGGTCTCCACGAAGAAAGACAACGTAGGCTCTTGGTGTCAATGAGGCGGGCATGGGATGGTTTCCATCACCAAGGACATTAAGTAAGTGGCATCAGTGGTCAGAGTCCCTCCATGTTATCTTCCTCCTCCTTCTCCTCATCGTCCTCTTCCTCCTCCATGTTCCGCGTCGCTTTGTCCCTGGCACCGGCCGCATGTTCTGGCACCCGGTACTCCCGGGGGAGCAGGTGCTTGTTCATTTTGATGAAGGCCAGGCTCTCCACGCTGCTGGTAGAGAGGCAAGTCCGCCTGTTCCGCATGATGGTCCCCGCCATGGTGAAGAGCTGCTCAGAATAGAGGCTGGAGGGGGGGCAGCTCAGGTGCTGCACAGCAACCTGGAAGAGGGGCAGCCACACATCCCGCTTGAGCTGCCAGTACATCAAGGGCTCAGCGCTGGCCGACAGGACCACGGTGTCCTGCAGGTAGCCCTCCACAATCTGGGCCGCCTGGGCCTTGGCTGAGTCCAGTAGCACTGGGGCCATGCTAATGAGGCCAAAGTCCTCCAGGCTGTCCCACAGGTACTTGCCCCGGTCTGAGGCACTGCCCTCGCGCTGCTGCTGTGTCTGTCTCCGGCTGGTGCCTTGGTCCCAGACATCCCGGATGTTCTTGGCCACCTCATTGATGAGTCTCTGCGTCCAGCGGTGCAGACCGCCCTCCCCTTCGGGCACGAAGGAGGCCATGTTGTTCTTGAAGCGGGGGTCCACATAGGTGGCCAGGACATAGTGCTCCTGAGCGCGGATCTCAGCGATTTGCCGGTTGCCCCGCAGGGTTTGCAGCAGGCTGTGGGCCAGCTCCTGGCCAGTCTCCTCGCCCTCGCCCTCGTACTGCTGCACCAGCGAGAGCAGCTTCTTCTCCAGCAGGCAGATGAGCGGGATGGCCTGGCTGATGCTGGCGTCAGTCCCACTCACCAGCTTGGTGGCGTCGTCAAAGGGCCGCAGGATCTGGCACAAGATGCGGATGAGGGGCCAGTCGGCCTGGGCCATGTGCAGCCCACCGGCCCGCTGGGCCTGGGCAGAATGGTGCAGGCAGAAGGCCTGGACAGCGGCTCGCTGCTCATACAGCCGCTCCAGCATGTGCAGGGTGGAGCTCCACCGCACCGCCACCTCCTTCTTCAGCTGGTGCCGTGGCAGCTGATTCTCCACCTGCAGCTCCCAGAGCAGGTGGCGGGCAGTGTAGGAGTGCTCAAAGTGGGCACAGACCTTCCTGGCTGCTGCCAGCATCTGGTCCACCTCATCATTGCTGTGCAGGAACTCCCGCACCACCAGACCCAGGCAGTGTGCCAGGCAGGTGACACGGGGGAAGCTGCCTTCACGCAGCACCTGCTGCACCCGCTGTCCATCATCTGAGGCCACAAAGCCCGACGAGAGGGAGAGGGGCATGAGCCAGTCCCTGATGACCCCCCGCAGCCTCTCCAGCATGTGCCCAGTGCCGTGCTGCTTCTCCAGGCCGCACATGTAGAGAGTGGCATACTGGCGCAGGATGCTGCTGTTGCTCATGCTCACCCAGTGGGCACTGATGGACATGTAGTCAGTGGTTTGCCCGCTGGTCCACATATCCACCGTTAGGTGCACGCGGCCGCCCTCACAGCCCCCCAGTGCCTGCAGCACCGCAGTCTTTACTGCACGGCACAGCTCCGGCACTGCCTTCTTGGAGAAGAAGGAGCGACTGGGCACCTGCCAGCGGGGGGCAGCTGCCGCCATCATCTCCCTGAAGCCCTCGCCCTCTACGTGGGAGAAAGGTAGGAGGTCCAGGGCCAGCATCTTGGCACAGGCAGCGTTCAGCGCCAGAGCCCGGGAGTGCGCCCGATGGTACTTGGTGCCCCTCTTCAGGCTCTCATTGATGGACAGGTGGGTGTAAGAGCCCCCAGGTCTCCTGGCGATGCTGGGGGCCCGGCCAGTGCCACTCTGCTCCCTGCACTTCAGTGCAGCCCCATGTGGTGTCAGGGGGGGCTCTACCACTCCGGGCTGCTGGCCTTCCATGTTCTTCTGGCGCATGTAGACAATGCTGTGGTTGTGCTTGATGTGATTGCCAAGAGACGACGTGCCCAGGCGCTTGGGATCAGTCCCACGCTTAACCATCTGCTGGCAGATCATGCAGGTGACACGGGTTGGGTTCCCAGGGTCAATGGAGAAATACTCCCAGACCCATGATTTCTGTCGGTGGTATCTTCCAGACCCTGGACCCTGTGTTGCCACCGCACGCATGCAGGATGTGATGGGGCCGATGCTGTGGGAATTGTGCTCTGCTCTGCTGTTCCCTGTGGTTTCCCCCACTCCAGCACTGAGATCTCGCCCGCTCCAGATGGGCAGCTCATCCTGCTTTTGGACACTGGTGAAATATGAGGCTATCAGCATCTGATGCTGGGCTCCCCGTTCCTGCGTGCTAGGGCATCCCACCCCGTCGCTGCCCTCCTTCTGCTCCTCCATGTCCTCCGGGGTAGCTGGCTCCATGGGAGCTTCCCTGTCCACCCCAGAGGAGTAGTCTGAAAGCGTGTCGCCCCCTGATGAGCCCGCCTCCCCGGCCATGCTGGCTCCATCCTCGTCGGCCTCAGACTTGACAACCTGCAATACCTCATCTGGGATGAAGAGGGGTCCCCCAGTGTCTGACTCCCCTATGACACCAGACACAGCAGGCTCGGCTAAGCAGTATTTCTGTGTGGTGGATCGTGGTGATTGGCAGCTGGCAGACATGCATGGCTGTGACGACAATCCTAAGCAAGTGCCAATGCTGAGGCTGGCTGCATGTTGCCTGGGGCTTAAGCGTGGCTGTTTGGCAGAGGAGTTTCTCCATCCTCTGCTGCTATGATTATTTCTCTTCATTGTGTGCTAACGAGTGGTAAAGGCTGATATATAAAACAACCTAAGACCCTGCTTAACACCAATGAGGAACACGGACAGGACTCCCAAACCCCTACTAGAGCCCTGACACCGAGACACTCTGACCAGACCCTGGACGCACATGAGATTACGGGGTGCAAATGTAGCAAGAGAAAGTTACATTGAAATCCTGCACCCAGCCAATAAATCTGACAGCAGCCTCAGTTATCCAGAGATGATGCCCCAGAAGTGAGGCCAGCAGTGCCTTACGGTAGAGGTTTAAAATGATCTACCTTCCTAATCTTATCTCCTACTCTGCTAACCTGTTCCTCTCCACGAATCATTCACAACAGCTTCTTCAAGCCCCTCTCCTCGTCACAAGTTATTCCTTTGGTGCCTGGTGGTATTTTCCCAGTTCCCTGGCAAAATACCATGTGTCTAATCACTAAGCTGACCTTGGCTATCAAATATTGTTGCAAACTATTCACCATCCAGTCAAAGAGTTACCCCCCCCCCCAAAAAAAAACAAACATGTCAAGTGAATTCACACAGGCAGTAGATCAGAGGAATTTGCAGTTTGCTGTCTCCAACAGGAAGAGAGTTTGAATAATTTGCTGAGTAAATAATATGCAAAGAGTTATTCTCCATGCAGGTCCTCACAAATTGTACACCAGGCAAGCAGCAAAGAACACACTATCGGAGGCCACTCCTTGGCCTCTTTGCTGAGACAATGGATCCTGTAAATGGTTTTCCTGTGTGGATGCCTATCCTGCTAGGAACTGCACTGAGACTATCCAGCTCACATCAAAAGGGCCACTGAAATAAAAAGCAGACCCCACCCCCAACTCACTTCCCACCATATGCTGTTCACTCCCACAAATCCTCACACAATCCACGAGTTCCCTTCAAGAACCTGCTCCCTCCGCCTATGATCTATCTGACAAACAAGTCATCCAGCTCCCGTGCTAACTAGCTATCAGCACTGAACCCACAAACAGCTCCATCCTCTCTGCCCCATCTCCCATTACCCTTCCTACCCACAAATAATCAATGTTTCCATTTGAACGGGGGGGGGTGTCTCTGATCTCTATGTGGAGTTAGCTCTAACTGAACAATTTCCTTCAGTGAGCAGCTACACAGGGCTCCTCTTCCACGTAGGTTCTCTGAGGCTGGGTAAGAGCTGATTTGGCATTGACACTTTTTGCACGCTCAGGTCTGTCATGGATCCTCTCTCCCATGCGGCTCCTTGGACAGCAGGTAAGGTCTGAGCTCTGAGCGAAGCCTCGCCCCTCAGTCAGCACACGTGCTTTCTCTCTATTCCTTGTGGGATTTGCTGGTAGAAAATGATGTCTCTGAGCTTTCTGATGTTTCCTTGAGTGTGAGTGTGTTTACCCTCTCTCTCCACTGGAGTGGTTCCTCTGCTGTCTTCCCTGCCTGTGCTTATTCCTGTAAAATTTCCACCGGGGTGGACTCTGGGAAACATTCCCTTTGGATCTGCTTAACAACATTTCATGAGGTTCTCCCTTCCTCTGAACATTTAGATCAAGATTATCCTCCTCCTTCTCCCTCACGATCCCACCATCTGCTGGAAATAAAAAATAAAGAGAGTCCAAGTGTCAACCACTCTGCCTCATTTGAAATCCTTGGCAATAAAAACAACAAACAGCATCACAATAAAAACAAGTATCAATAATCTATTTTGGTTCATGTGTCAGGGTTCACCTGGCATAAAGCTCATAGGGATGACTTTGAAACAACTCGTTAATAAAGGAGAGAAACTAAGCACAGGTTTCTAATTTCTCACTTCTGCTAAATAAAAGGGCTTTAGGGGTCATGGTGGAAACCAAATGAACATGCACTCCCAATGTGGCTAAAATGCCTAATGCAATCTTTGAGTAAAGGACTATTGAGTTGAAGAGGTGATATTACCCCAAAATATGGCATTGGAGAGTATTCCAACGGTGGTCTGTCTCCAGTTGTGGTTATCCACATTTTTGAAAACTTGGAAAGGATTCAGAAAAAAGTTACAAGAATGATTCAAAGTCTGGAAAACCTACCTTACCTTGAGAGACTTAAGGAGCTGAATCTGTTTAGCTTATCAAAGAGAAGGTTATGAGGGAACTTGATCACAGTCTATAAGTAGCAACATGATGAGAAGATTTCAGATAACAGAGGGCTCTCTAATCTAGCAGACAATGGCAGAACAAGGTCCAGTGGCTAAATGTTGAAGTGAGACAAATTCAAACTGGAAATAACATTTTTACCAGGGTTATTAAGAGCTGACCCAGGGAGTTGGTGGAATGTGGGTCACTTGGAATCTTTAAACATTGGGCTGGATGCAGGAATCACACCGAAATTCTCTGGTTGGTGTGATGCAGCAGGTCAGATTCATTAGACAACCATAGTGGTCCCTTCTGGCCTCAAAAATCTATGAAATTTTAAGTATCTGGTGTCAAATGAAAAGAGCTGAGCCTTGGGCTAACATTTTTAAAAATAATAATTGACATTTTTTATACAAGTAACAATCATACAAACATGCTTCAGTGTAAACTGTTTTAAACACATCAAACTCCCAAAACAAGAGACAAATCCCAAAAACTTCAATGGGAGATTCTGACTGCTCAGCTCTTCCAAAAGTCACACCACTAAGTAAGGTGCCTACCATACCAATGTTTGAAAATTCTGGCTTGATAGGTTTAATTGTTACAAGAGATAGATAGATTTTTTTAGAGAAAAAAAGTCAAACATGAGGAAACTACCAGCTTTATCACCTTAACTGAGTCTCTTTGTTCTTTGAACCAGCTGGGATTTTAATTAAATTACTCTTGGTATTAACTTTTAAACACTGTTACATTACTCAGTAGTTCAAATATTAAGTTAAAATGCTTACATTTTGTCTGGGAATAAAAATATTTTCTAAGGAAATCTTTTTGGAAAGTCTATAATTTCTCCTGTTGCCCCTTCCAGTCTTTCTCCTTCTCGCCTAGACTCGGTCCCTGGCCCGACGCGGGGCGTTCGCTCTCCCGGAGCGGGCACGGCTCCTGCAGGGGCTCAGGGGGACGAGAGGTGTGTGTGTGTGTGTGTGTGTGTCAGGGAGGGCAGCAGCTCTGGGACTCGCAGACACACACACCTCCGGGAGCAGAGCTGGGGCGAGGAGGGGGCGTTGGAGCAGTCACTTTCCTGCCCGGTCCCAGCCCTTTCCCCCGGGTCTCTCCCCTCACCTGCAGGCTCCGGCTCAGGGGCTGGTGTCGGCAGAGCCCGGGGCTGCCCCAGGGGCTGGTTCCAGCCCCCGGAGAAAGTCCCCCCGGCTGGGCACAGAGAGGCGCTAGGGAAGGGCTCTCCCCGCACACATCCCGCGGAGCAGCAGCGGCTCAGCCTGGGTTCTCAGGTCACTTACGGATGCAGCAGCAGCGTCTGACTCGGGAAGCTCAGCCCCTGATAGATAAAACAGAGAGCGAAAGAGAGAGCAGCCTCCCCTGCCTTAGCAACAGCCAGAGCCCTCTGGTGGCCACAGCTAATGAAACCCCCTCCCTGCGCTCCCCCGGGACAGAAAATCCAGCCATAGTCCTTCCCTCCTGCCCGAGCAGAAAGAATCCTCCAGAGCGATTGAACCAGAGACAGAGCCGCAGAGAAACCTACCCCCTACTATCCAGGACGCCTCCGGGCAGCCTCTCAGGAGCCCCAGAGCCCTTTTATTTGCAGCTCCGCTCCCTGCAGCAGTCTCAAACCCCTGCAGGATGCTGCACCCCCGCCGGTATAGTGTAGTAAACTGCTCCGCGTGGGAATGTTAGATTGTAAGAAACTGGGGTAACTGCTACCCCTGTGCCGGGTTTTGCCCTCTGACACCCTCTGCCAGAGCCTCACTCCTGGGCTTAACTCCGCCTACTCCCCCCCTCATCCCTGATTTTGCCATTTAGCCCCTCTCCTAATGCTGCCTCCAGCTGCTTGGCCCCTTTGACCAGTAAAAGTTCACCCCCTTCTCAGACATTGGCCACCCCCCTGCTCTGATTCGCCCTTTTGCCATTTTTTAATCCCTGTCAAAAGCAGTCTGCAGAATTTTATGGCGAATAATGTCAGGGTGAAGGGCAGTGGTGTCAGCAGATGAACTGAGCATGCTCAGTACACAGTAAGTAGCACATTCCTATGCAGAGCAATTTACTACACCACACCTGGCTCCTGGAATCTCCCCTGTGCTCCCCCACCCACCGCTCCTGAGCAGGGAGGCTTCATGGCTAGTGCAGGCAGGGTGCTTCATGGCTGGCAACTTACAAACAGTGTCCACAGGGCAATTTCTTACGGACATCCAGTCAGCTAAACGCAGTGGTTTTCAAACTGTGGGTCGCGACCCAGTATTGGGTTGCGGAATATAAGGCCCTGAGTCGCAGTGGCTCTGGTCAGTTAAAAGTCCCATTGGCGGTGCTGCCCGGCTAAGGCAGGCTAGTCCCTACCTGTTCCACAGCAGGTCTGGCTCCTAGGCGGGGGGGCCACATGGCTCCACACGCTGCCCCCACCCCAAGCACCAGCTCCCCACTCTCATTGGCTGGACATGCTGGTGGCCGCTTCCGGGGAGCAGCATGGTCCGCAGTGCCAGGACAGGTGGGAAGCCTGCCGCTGCACTAATGACCAGGAGCCACTGGAGGAGGTAAGCCCATGCCCTAACTCCATACCCCAATCCCCTGTCCCAGTCATGAGCCCCCCCTCAAACCCAGAGCCCCCTCCTACACCCCAAACCCCTCATCCTGGCCCCACCCCAGAGCCTGCATCCCCAGCCCAGAGCCCTGGCCCACTCCTGCACCCCAATCCCCTGCCCCTGCCTGAACCATCCCAAACCCCTCATCCCCTGCCCCACCCCAGAGCCTGCACCCCCAGACCAGAGCCCTGACCTTCCTGCTGCACCCCAATCCTCTGCCTCAGCCCAGAGCCCCCTCCCACACTCTGAACCCCTCATCCCCAGATCCGTTGGGTCACGGGCATCAACAATTTTCTTCAACTGGGTCTCCAGAAAAAAAGTTTGAAAACCACTGAGCTAGAGCTAGTGGACATTTTTCAGTAGTGGTCTCCCCCCCACAAAAAAATGACTTATCAAAGAAAGTTTAATAATTTTTGATGAAATCAGAGAAACAAAAGATTTGATTTGATGGACCCAGAATGAAACATTTTCTAGTTTGGGTGTTTTTTTTTCGGGGAGGGGGGGCTTTTGCTCCCCTTCCTGTGTTTTTCCAAATGGAAAAGAAAAGGGGGTAAGGAAAAGAAAGAGGGAGAAAAACAGAAATCTGAAAAGCAAAAAAATTCTGTTTCAATCTGAATTGAATCAAAACCATTTTTTAAATTGTGAATCAAATTGAATTAAAAAAATTCCAGAAAACTTTTTGAAAAAAAAATCTATTTATTTCAGATTTTTTTCATGGAAGATATGTACTGTTTCAGACCAGCACTATTATTAAATTAAAATATAATATTAAAATAAACTTTATTAGAAACCACTTTCACTAGCCCAGATTTGTTTCCTGGCTCAGGACATTTTTCACTTGCTTTTTTTCCAACTGATTTGCATGGCTATTGCTGCGGTATTTCTCATTTCACCAGAGGGAGGCATGGAAAGAGCACTTTAGCAGTGAGCCACAATAATGCGTTGTGGTGTACAGTGTGCTATTGTAACACCGACAGATGCCAGTCGTTGGCAGGTGGGATTGAACCAGGGATCTCTGGAGCTTAGTGCATGAGCTAAAAGCCAACTGGCTGTTAGCTAAGGCTGTAGAGCAGACTCATTAATTGCTCTCTTCTAAGTGGTCTCGGTGCCACTAGATGGGATAGAACACCACACCCAGGAAGTGTGTGGGTTACACTATCTGGCCCTGCTGTTTGGGGCCCTGTTAGGAATTGTGTGGTGTTATGGCATTCAGCGAACCCAACCAAATGCCACCTAGGATAGAGAAAGGTAATGTATTTCTGGTACAGCATGCAGCGGTGCTGGCTGTACCCCCTGGTGGAAAAAGTTCAGGTGCTGACAGATTGTCCAATACCGTCAACCAAAAAGCAGATATGACTCTTCCCAGGCTTGGCCAGCTATTACAGGCAGTTTATATGGGACTTCACCACAATAGTGGCCCCCCTTACTGACCTGGTGAAAGACACCAACCCCAAGGAGGTGCAATGGTCGGAAGCCTGTGACAAGGCCTTCAGGACCTTAAAGGACCAGCTAATCCAGGGTTCAGTTCTCTTTCACCACAACTTCACTAAGCAATTCATTTTGCAAATGGACACGTCAGAAGTGGACCTCAGGGTTGTGCTGTCTGAAGAGGCTAAGGACATCTGTGAGGAACTCACAGGACTTGTGCTCTCTCTCGGCTCCATACAGTCCCTGGGTGGAACCCCCTGTGATGGGTTCGGTCACAGAGACACCCTTGGGACTGTCACCTGATGTGCTGATATTACCTCTGAGCCCGTTTTCCCTGCCAGCTTGGGACTCCAGAGCCCTGTCTGGTTGAGCCAGATATGCTAACCTGCTGCAACACAGATGCAGGGTCTGAACAATGCCCCCAAAGCTGCAAACTTAACTGAAAACAGCTCAGCAAGTACTCCTGTCTCCAGCAGCCAGACACCCAGCTCCCAATGGGATCCAAACCACAAATAAATCCCCTTTACTCTATATAAAGCTTATACAGGGTAAACTCATAAATTGTCCACCCTCTATAACACTGATAGAGAGATATGCACAGCTGTTTGCTTCCCCAGGTATTAATCACTTACTCTGGGTTAATTAGTAAACAAAAGTGATTTTATTAAGTATAAAAAGTAGGATTTAAGTGGTTCCAAGTAATAACAGACAGAACAAAGTAAGTTACCAAGCAAAATAAAACAAAACACGCAAGTCTAAGCCTAATACATTAAGAAATTGAATACGAGAACATCCTCAGAGATGTTCTAATAAGCTTCTTTCACAGACTAGACTCCTTCCTAGTCTGGGCCCAATCCTTTCCCCTGGTACAATCCTTGTTAGTTCCAGCTCAGGTGGTAACTAGGGGATTTCTCATGACTGGCAGCCCCCTTTGTTCTGTTCCACCCCCTTTTATAGCTTTGGCACAAGGCGGGAATCCTTCGTATCTCTGTAGGTTCCCATCCCTCCTTCTAAATGGAAAAGCACCAGGTTAAAGATGGATTCCAGTATCATGTGACATGTTCACATGTCCTGTGAGCCCCCCCTCCATTCTTCCAGGACTGGCCCGCATGTATGCAGTGGAGCTTGCAGGTAAACAAAACCATCTACAGTCAATTGTCCTAGTCAATGGGAGCCATCAAGATTCCAAGCCACCATTAATGGCCCATACTTTGCATAATTACAATAGGACTTCAGAGATATACTTCATATTTCTAGTTTTAGATACAAAAATGATACATACATACAAATAGGATGAACACACTCAGTAGATTATAAGCTTTGTAATGATACCTTACAAGAGACCTTTTGCATAAAGCATATTCCATTTACATTATATTCACACTCATTAGTATATTTCCATAAAACATGTGGAGTGCAACGTCACACCCCCTTCAGTGCAACAACCCTTCTTTGGGGTCCACTCTATCTCGGGGGTTAAGCCATAGTCCCCTCCACCTCCTGGAACTGCACCTCTCTGAGCCTTCAGCACTCCTGTCTCTTGGCATGGGCCCCCTCAGGGAGTCTACACGCACAGGGAATAATGCAACCCCACTCTCTAGACCTGATTGACTCTCAGCCAGTGTAAAACAGGAGGGTTTATTGAACATCTGAACACAGCATAGGAAACTCTCAGACCCTCAGGCCTGGCATCCCTCAGAACACTACATCTAGGTCTCTCCAGCCTCCAGATGGGCTCTGGCTGCTCTCTCCTCCCAGCCCAGAAACCCCCTCCTTTCCGCTGGGCATCCAATATCACCGTCCCCCAAGTCCCGCCCAGGCCTGCCGACAGCAATTCCGGGCCCCAGGACAGAACACTCAATGGGCCCCAGCTGGTGCCCAGCGAGCTGCCGGCTGCACTACTGGGCACATTCTTCCGGCATGGCCAGAGTTTCCACATGCCCACCCAGCTGCCTTCGCCACCGCCGGTAACACCCCGTGGGAGCCTAGGAGCTAAGGCACCGACTTCCAGATTTCCTGAGGGATGCTTGACCCTCCGCTTTGTCCTAGGCCCCTTCCCCCAATACCCCACCCCTGCTCCACCTCTTCCCACCCCCATTCTGCCCCCTCCCCTGAGGGCACCCCATATACAACTGGTGCCTCCCCATAGTGGGGGGGGGCATGATCTAAAGGGCAGGTCACGTGTTCCCCCCCACTCCATGTCCAGCCCAGGGCCACTGTGCTCTCCCTGCCCCATGTTACCTGCAGGGGGAGACACTTTATCCTCCTGCTGC